ACACGGCACGCCATAAATCACCTGCAAACGCCCGCCTGCTTAGATCCGGCCGCTTAATCACAGGGCGCCATTCATAATCAACTCCGTAAGTGGGACGAATGAATGTTTTAATTCGGCGCATCATTCAATACGTCGGAGGAGCCCGGGATGGCCGCTTTCAACAGGTGCGTCGCTATCCGGGCGCAGTGTCAGGTCAACGCCTCAGTTCGGCTGTGGGCTGTTCATCGGCATGCCGGCACGTGGTTATTGCCGCTGTGAGTCACTATGTCACTATGTTACTGTGTCACGAACTGCTCATGCCTTGGAAAGAGCATGACGCCTTAAAATCGGCAAGTTAAAAACAGTTTGCTGGTACGTAAGCCGTGATAAAAACGAGATCTTAGGTCAATGCGCTCTGAGGGAATGCCTGCCATTCGTTGTCGTCCGGTCTGCAAAACGGACTGGGCCAACCGACATTCCAAGAGCAGCTTTTCAACATGAACAGCTCGCGATCAGATGCAATGCTGCCAGTTTTGAGCTCTGTCACCAGCCAACTAGGCCAAAAGCTAGTAGGACCAAACGACGCGGTAACAAAGTACCACTATTGCTCACCGCCTCTCGAACGACGCATGTGAGTCTAAAACTTCTATGAATATACTCAGATGCCAAAAGAGTCCCCGGAAAAACAGGAGTAACTCAGGAAGATGAAGATAACTTAAAAATGTCACGCTACCTCAGGAATGTTAAAGACACATCAGGGGAGTGTGCAGCAAATTTAATGTACCTAGCTAATACCGCTCCCTTAAAGCGCTGAAAATAAAAAACCTTCAAAAACTATTTTTCCAAGTTGGATGGGCACGTATGTTCCAAAGTACACTTTTTCAACCGCACATGACGCCGACAATAAAGAATCCCCAGCTATTAAACGTTTACCCAAGTAGCCGCACCGTAACGCTGCGGCCAAAAGCGTTCCCATATCTGAGTGTTGGTTTACACATACTCGCTCTCATATCTGAGAGTGTTCGTCATTCAGACTGGCTCTCATAACTGAGAGTGTTCGCTGTAAATACTCGCTCTCATAACTGAGAATGTTCGTTACATATACTGCCACATTCGATTCCATTAGTACCCTCGCAAAGGGTTTTTCGGGTTTATAAAGGCCAAAGCTTTGCAAAATTATTGTGGCGGAAACAGCAAAAACGACCGGGGAATACAGAACTGTATCATCACTCAGGAGGAAATAGCGTAACTTTTGTGTACCCAACGATGAAATGACTTCCCATTACCACATATCCCTCTTACCAAACGGACCTAATGCAGGCACGCTGAACAAATTTGTTTGCTTCGCAAAAAGCCCCATAACAAGCAAAAGCTGAGACCAGAAATAACTGGGTATGCACATGACAGGCAATGTATCACGTTGACCTCGAATGCTGCTCCAGACCAGACCGAACAGAGACGGACGATCGGGAGCCGACGGTGCGGGGGTGAAGAGGACAGCTCTCACGACGTCGTATCGGAGAACCGACGGTGCGGACGAGTCGTATCGGAGAAACGACGGTTGCGGGGTGAAGAGGGACGGCTCTCAGGCCGTCGTATCGGAGATCCGCCGGTACGGGTGAAGAGGACGGTAAGGGCGAAGAAGAGGAGTTCTCATATGATTTGCCGTGATTTGCTGGCGTTGGGCCTTTGAGAATGCACATGTACTACAGTGTTATATCTTAACACTGTTGCTAGCTGTTATGATAGTGAGAGATCTTGATTTCACAGGGGAAATATCCGTGAAGTCATGAGACAACCGTTTCGTGTATCAAATGCGTGGTTCAGGAGTAAGCTGGAATTGGCTGCTCATGTTATGTCATGGTGATTACTAAAAGGACGCATCACATATAATGCTGGTTGGTCTCAGCGCAGCAAATCGGTGAGAGGCATAGGCTGACCCGGACGGCGAGGCACGTCCCGCGTCGGCTGTCCCGGACGGCGAGACACGTCCTGCATCGGCTGACCGGACAGCGAGACTTCCCGCATCGGCTGACCCGGACGGCGCGACTTCCCGCATCGGCTGACCCGGACGGCGAGACTTCCCGCATCGGCTGGCCGAACAACGAGACTTTCCCGCATCGGCTGACCCGGACGGCGAGGACTTCCCGCATCGGCTGCCCCGGACGGCGAGACTTCCCGCATCGGCTGACCGGGACGGCGAGACTTCCCGCATCGGCTGACCCGGACGGCGAGACTTTCCGCATCGGATGACCCGGATCGGCGAGACTTCCGCATCGGCTGACCGGAGGCGCGACTTCCCGCATCGGCTGACCCGGACGGCGAGACTTCCCGCATCGGCTGACCCGACGAGACTTCGCGTCGGCTGACCCGGACGGCGAGACTTCCCGCATCGGCTGACCCGGACGGCGAGACTTCCCGCATCGGCTGACCCGACGGCGAGACCTATCACGCATCGGCTGACCCGGACGGCGAGACACCTCCCGCATCGGTGACCCGGACGGCGAGACTCTCACGCATCGGTGACGGGGCTGACCCGGACGGCGAGACACGTCCCACGTCGGCTGACCCGGACGACAAGACACGTCCGCGTCGGCTGACCCGGACGGCGAAACACGTCCCGCATCGGCTGACCCGGACGGCGAGACCTATCACGCATCGGCTGGCCCGGACGGCGAGACACGTCCCCGTCGGCTGACCTGGACGGCGAGACACGTCCCGCGTCGGCTGACCCGGACGGCGAGACACGTCCGCGTCGGCTGACCGCGGACAGCGAGACACGTCCCGCGGTCTCGCCCCGCGTCGGCTGACCCGGACGGCAGACACGTCCCGCGTCGGCTTCCTGCCACACAGCGGCCGTCGGCTGACGTGTCCAGAAGACGAGACGGCCGCCCATTCAGGGCCTAACGCTGCCGTCAGTCAGCCGCCCGCCGCCGCCATTGTGTGGGCACCTCTGCGACGCTGCGACGATGCCGGCCGAAATGGAGCCACTTCGACAGCCTCGGATATCACGTCAGGCAACACGCAGTGCTGCGCGTCACCGTGCCGCTGAAGCTACTCTTCGGGGTGGCGGTGGTTGTGGGGTGGGGGTGTTTATGATGGCGATTTTGCCTTTTCGCAGACGACGCGAAGGTGTTCCGTGAAGGAGGTCGCAGAAGCTCAAGAGGGGCGTCTTATTTTCCGCTGATTTCGGGCATGTTTCCTATGGGAGATTAACGAGTGCGCTAGCTGGAAGGTGAAGACGCGAAGACAAGCTGGTGACAACTGCTTGCGTACTGAAGGCGTCGTACAGGAGTTAGTTGGAGTTAATTGCACATGCAATGCTTGTACCGATTTCCATTACAAGTTAAGCCCTTTCAGACTCAGTGAATTTCGGGATTCGTGACTCTGCAATCGAACAGAGTGTAGCTGATTCGATACAAGAAAACTTCGCGATGAAAGTTGAGACGTATAGCTTTGGCAGACGCATCCATTCCGCTGAAAACATTTAACGGCATATTAGAATCAACCCAGACGGAGGATGCATCAAAAATATGAAAAACAAACACTCCATCTCCCGAAAAAATGGTGAAAGCAAACAGAGGCACGCGTCAAGGAGATCAATGCTCGACACGCGAAGCCAAACGACAGAGCGTCTGCCTCCGGAGAAAGCGACGGTGGTGGACATACATGGCAGACTGGGAACTCATCTGGCGGCGCGTTGAAAAGAAACATGCACGAGCTTCCAGCTGTCGGCGGCCGGCTGAAGGGCACACAGAGGTCAGGTGGAGAGCCCTTTCTAATCGGTGGCGCCCCGTGGTGGCACTGTTGTTATCATCGCCGGACGGCCATTTCTTTCATTGCTGAATGAGTGCTCCTGCGGCTGCAGCTATTTCGCTCGGCGCCATCGATCAATTAAGCACCGCCACCGACAATTGAAATATCATGGACGATGACGAGGCTCTCGGCGCGGCGGAGTGGAGAGCATAGCGTGCGAGGAGGCCGCGTGCTGCGGAAAAGGGCCGCATCATCCGCGCCAGGTAGGTTCTTCTTATCCAAACTAATTGAAACGTCTGCGGGCAGGCCTAACTAACGAGGCCGCTACTTGAGTCAGTTGCTGTGACGCAATTTATCACCACTAACGAGCCAAATGTGGCGCGCTACCGACGTGACAGATGCCGCCGCGCGCCCTCCGAGAAGCGGAGCAGCATACGCGGCATACAGCGGCGCCACCTACAGAGATGCCGCCAGTGGGGCCGGCAGGAGGTCATCAAAGGTCGCCTGGCCAGCCGGAGGCGTCTGGCAGCGTGAGCCCGCGTTTGTACAGGCACTCAAGTATTCCAGTGATGTCCACCGAACCAACTCACAAAATGTCACGACTAGCGAGCGAACCTCCTGGAGTGAAAGCAGTGGCAATGTCCGCGGGGGGGGGGGGCAAGACCAGGGCCGCCTGGGAGATCGCTTGTCCTACCAGTGGCGGGTGGGCAGCTTGTTCGCCGCGGCGCAGCACTGAACCGGACCGATCCCCGCACCGAGATTCCCACTGGGACTTTTTGTCCGCGTGCTCCAGCCGGGCGGCAGCCATGGTCAGCAGGCCGAACGGGCGGCGACGCGGTCCAATTAATTCCCATTATCGGCGGCCCCACGCGCCACCCCTGTCCGCAGCCCAGCCGGCCACTGTAATTGGTCCCTGTCCAGATGTCGGACAGCGTTTTACTGCGCCGCGGACGCCCGATAGCCGAATGACCAGCCATCTGTACGCGGTCATCGCGGTCGAAGAGGGCGCAGATGGCCGACCAGACAGGACCCGGAGACCGGACTGGAGACCGGACCTGGGCACCGGACTCGGGGACCGGACTTGGGGACCGGACCCGAGGGCCGGACCCGGAGACCGGACCGAGATGACGTCGGAGTGCTAGCGAAAGCGAAGTTGGGACATGGGGATAGTTTACTTGTGGCGCACGCTCCAGCTGAGGGCGGGAGCCGTTCAGGGCTCCACTGAGGGCGGGACACGTTCAAGCTCCAGCTGAGGACGGGGCCGTTCAGAGCTCCAGCTGACGACGGGAGCCGTTCAGAGCTCCAGCTGAGGACGGGGGCCGTTCAGAGCTCCAGCTGAGGACGGGGCCGTTCAGAGCTCCAGCTGAGGGGGGCCGTTCAGAGCTCCAGCTGAGGGCGGGGGCCGTTCAGGCCAGCGAGGGCGGGTGCCGTTCAGAGCTCCAGCGAGGGCGGGTGCCATTCAGAGCTCCAGCTGAGGGCGGGGCCGTTCAGAGCTCCAGTTGGGAAGGGAGCGGACCTGAGCCTTACCGGGACACGCATGGGTATCCGGGAGTCACGGGTCACGTAATGATGCGTTGCGAACGCGAAGCAATGGCTGTGTCGCCTGATCTGGCTTATTGATGGGCCATCTGAAGTGCAGCGACAGTGTGGGAACGGTAGTGCCGGGCATCTGCTTACACCCCATCTGGCACATGAACACATTATTCAAACATCGTAAAATCACGAACTTTTCACATGAAACATTAGTTAAGCCATCCAACGGACAGAGGCCGGAAAACTGTTCCAAACCCGGCAACTTGTCATTGTTAGTCCAAGGCGCAGAAACGATGTCACTTGACGTAACAGCTCCAGGAAGAAATTAGTTGCAGGACCAAAAAAAGAACACCGAACAAGAAGTCTAGAAGCCCTGTTTTCTAAAGGATGTGAAAAATATTGCTTTCGCATCTGAAGAGAAAATACAAAAGATCACCGCTGTCCACATAAAGTATCGGTTGTCATTTGAACAGGACCCAGCCAATCACCCCACCAGTCCTCGGCAAACCTCTTACAGAGAACGGAGCTACCGCCGAGATGCGACGATTTTTACTTTCAGGCCCAGATAGGAACGCGGAAACAAACCGAGCCGAGACAGTGCCGGTCGGCCGTCATCCAGTACCTGTCAGCCGTCATCTCCGCACATCAGCTGATGAGGGACCGCCCTACTGCGGCCGCACGTGAGGATGATTAGCCTAATCAGCTGATGATACAGCGCAGCGGGGGCCGGCCGACTTATGAGCCGGCGGCGGCGGCTTGGCCGGGACTGGAGCCGCCCATCCCTCAGCGCCGCTGGACCGGCCACCCCTCATCGGTCACAGGTGGCGAGCAGACCGTGAGGAGGATACTGAAGCCCTGCCAGGAGACCGTGAGGACACTGAAGCCCTGCCATGAGACCGCGAGGAGACTGAAGCCAAGCCAGGAGACAGTGAGGAGACCGAAGCGCGCAGGAGACAGTGAGGAGACCGAAGCCCTGCCAGGAGACCGTGAGGAGGAGACTGAGCCCAGCCAGGGACCGTGAGGAGGAGACTGGAGCCCAGCCAGGAGACCGTGAGGATGAGACTGAAGCCAGCCAGGAGACCGTGAGGAGGCTGAAGCCCCGCTAGGAGGCCGTGGGGAGGAGACTAAATAAATATCTGTCAGAAGACCGTGAGGAGGAGACTGAAGCCCCGGCCAGGAGACCGTGAGGAGGACACTGAAGCCCCGGCCAGAAGACCGTGAGGAGGAGACTTAAGCCGCCAGAGACCGTGAGGAGGAGACTGAAGCCCCGCCAGGAGACGTGAGGAGGAGACTGAAGCCCGCCAGGAGACCGTGAGCAGGCTGGCGACCCGACGCCGGTGACACGCAGCAGGATTGGAAGTGGATTGCGGTCTGCAGATACGGCGTGGCCTCGGCCGGTGGACAATCAATCGATATTTGGAACGCCGAGGTTTCCTGGGTTGCGCTGAGTGGCGGCTTGAAAATCAAACTTATTGGGAAATGCTGTCCAAGTGTTATAGATGACGTGCTTCGTCGTATTGGCGGAATTGGTATCATCTATCACGTCGGGAAGACACATACCACAAGATGACATTAATTGACCAATCCATTATTGGTCTAACATATAATGCTTGAGAACTGCATCATCTGTTCAGGAAAAAGTACTGATATCTGAAATGAGAAGGAAACAATGACACCTGGGAAACAGATATAAACCTGTCAATAGGTTCGATAAAGTACTTTCACAATGCCTGAACACAATAGTGCACTATTCTCCATACGACGATTTCAGTTCCCAAAAATGAATCAGTAGTTTAAAGGCTTTGTCTGCTGAAAATGAAATGTACATTTTGGGAAAGAATGTGCAAATACATCACGCAGTGAGGCATGTTGTGGAACAAATGCTTGCAAAAGGATTGTCGCCCTTTAACAACAAAAAAGGAACGTTAAAAAACATGCGCCATGGTGTGATAACCTTCCATCTCGTCTGATCATCCCACGAAAGTGCCGTTAGGGCCTGTCACAGGCGGCGTCCATTTCGCTGCGCTGTAGCGACGATGGCACTCACCGGTGCAGAAAATGTCTCACAGCTTCGCCCCATCCCACAATTTCCCTAGGGTGCGAGAGACAATCAACAGCCGAGTCGACGCCGCTGCAGCCGCAGTGGGCGCGGAAGAGTCACCGCCGCGGAGTGCGCCGCGGAGTCAGCGCCGAGGAGTCAACGCCGCGCGCACTGCGACCGACGCCCGTCGATTCAGACGCACGGCTCGCGCCCGTCCGCCGGCGCGGCCGACGGCGGCAGCGACGGGACCGCCGAGCCCGGAGCCGGCGCCGTTTTGAGCCGTTCAGCGGCGCACATTAGCCGCCGCTTTCGTCCCATCAGGCGAGCTGTCATCGGCGGACGCTGTGCTGGCGAGCTTCGCAGCGCCGGCCGCCGCTCGGCTGCCGTTTCTGAGCGCTGGCGGAGGCGAGGAGCGCGTCTGCTGAGCCGGCGCGCGCGACCGAGCGACGCCCGGCGCCCGACGAGCGACGCCCGGCCCCGGCCGAGCGACGCCTCGCTGCCGACTCGACAGACGCGAGACGCCCGGCGCGATGAGGACGAGTCGCGCTCGACGCGGGACGGGCCCGTCGCCTGCCAGGTCGTGACGCGCCGCACATCACGCCGCATGTCGCGATGACGCATGTGACGGGCGGGCGGCCGCGGCAGGTAGACGACGTGTCCGAGCGGCGGCGCCGGACCGGTCGACGACACGACTCGCGCGACGCCGTCAGCTCGCGTGCGGCGACACGATCCCGTGTCGACATCGGCTGACCTGGCGGGGACACGGATTGCCGCCGGTGGCACCGCCATGAAACCGCGCCGCCTGTGTCGGTATCTCTGGACAAGCCGGCGACTCGGCTCATGGGCCGAATCGCAAGGCGGCATCGGGCCGGATGACAGCGACATGGATCATCGGTTGAGTGCTGACACTGGTCGATCTGTCTGATCCGTGCCGACTGACCGCCGTCAGAGGTCCCCGCCGACCGACCGCCGTCTGAGAAGTGACCTGCCGACACGCCTCTCGACCAGGTGGCCTGTCGGGACGGCGCCGGGTCCATTGCGGGTGCGAGCTTGGCCCCCACTCGGCCACACCAGCCGGCGCGAGGCCCAGCCAGCCACTTCGCCCCCCACGCTGGCGATGCGGCTGGCTGGCTCAGCTCGAATATCGGCTGGAAGGCTGGCTGCAGCTCGAGACCGGCTGGAAGGCTGGCTGCAGCTCGGAGACCGGCCGGAAGGCTGGTTGCAGCTCGGAGATCGGCCAAAGGCTGGCTGCAGCTCGGCGAGTTTTGAGCAACGTGGGTCGGTGAGGCAGTGCTCCTGACTCAGACGCCGGTGCCGGAGGTGACGATCGGTACGCATCAGCACGCGCTGCGAGCCAACGATCTCACGTTCGACAATGTGCTAGTTCAGTTCCCTGTTTAGCGTCGTCACATACAACATGAGATTCGCCAGTGCAGTGTAGGACGGTGTCGTCATCACATGCAACTCTGGCCTGCCTGGGATCACGTCTGCTGCCTGTCAGCGCCCAGTGTTACGAAGAGCATTCCCTGGCGTGTCGTGGTGGGTTAGGGTGCAGCTCACCCTGATGTGACCGACTGAGTGCGACGCAGACAGACACTCACCGATGCGCTGCCCGTCGCCGGCCCGGCCGCCGCCCTCCAGCGCCGTCTCCCGAAGCAGCGGGCCCGTCTCGTCGCTGAAGTTGCCCACCGCCGCCGCGCTCGCGACACAGACGAGATGATGTCGGTCCGTGCACGAAGAGTGCAACCGAACGGAAGTTGAAGCCATGAGAAGGTGACGTAAACACGCTCATGACCTCATTTGTGCATAACGAGGAAGCAAGGAGAAGAAACATGATACATCAGAAGTACCAGAAGTAAAAGGCACTGAACAACATAAACGCTCTTGTCGTAATGCATGTCTGTTAGGCAAAAAAAACGGCCAATTTCGCGGCCATTTGTTACAACAACGTCCCGGAGACAACCGCTAGTCCACACCTGGTGCGTGAAACCCCACATGTTGGAAGCCCATGCCCCTCCTTTGGAAGACAGTCGTCACTGATCTGATACCCGCGTGAAGCGAAGCCCCCGCCCGTTTCATCGCGCTCCTCGGGCTATGATAGAGCGAGCCAAGAACGGCGCACCGTCGAACAGCTTCCATCTGGCCGCCGGGAACGGCCGATGATCCCCATTGGGGCGGCGGGCGCCCCCGCTCCGAGGTGCCGGTGAACGGCAGGGGTGACCTTGACCTCTGGCTGATGGTCAGGTCCAGCAGCGGACGACGGGGTGTCTCACGGGGGCGTCGACGCCCACGCCAAGCAACAGAACGCTCTCAGAACGTCCCCGCGGCCGCCGGCGGCGGCTTAGCGCACGTGCCGGTCGAGGGGTCACGGACCGTCTGGCGGACGAGCCCCGCGTCCAGCCATCCCCGGCGTCCGCGCCCGGTTACCGAAGCCGACACCCCCGCGGCGCGCGTTGGTAAGAGCCGCGGCTGCAAAACTGCCGGTCAGCTCGATGGGTGACTGCTTGCGTCGGGTGACAGGGCCGTGCTCACCTTGCTCGGGTGACAAGCTCGGGTGACGCGCAAGGGTGACAGAGCCTGCGGCTGTGCACCGGCTGGCGAGGCTCCGATGCCTGCGGCCAGCTGTGAGGAGATTGTCTGCCGGGGAACTGACCGACTGAACCGCAAGGACCGCGGCGCGATGCGTCGCTGTGCGTCGCCCGGGCGGTCCCGGTGGTCCAGCCGGTGTGAGC